TCATCATGATCGAAGATCTGCTGACGACGGGAATGGGGACCCCAATACGTCAACGAAGACGAGAATTGAGGGACATGGCAACGAACATTGGAACAGGAGGCAGTCAGGTCTGTTCCGAGACTATAGACAATCACGACAGTCACAGCTGATGATACTCCGCTCCCAGTAACAGAGCGTTCAGCAATAGTCTCAGCGTTCAGGGCGATGCGACGCTTTATAGCAAAGCGCAGCGCCACGCTACACCGCCCACACCTATCACTCCGGCAACGCCATTCCCGAGCATGATACTCAGCGCGAACCCGGACTAGTACGTCCGCGCCAGATTCCGCAAATACCAGTCTACCAGCTTCCGTCCCACCTTCGCCTCGGAGACTTGGATCATGTCCCCCTGCATGGCGTAGTCGAGATCGCTCGAGTTGACCACATCGCCCTCCAGCAGGCCTCCCTCGCTGTGCCTTACCTGGCGTGACCGCTGCTTGTTAACGAGAAGCCAGCTCTTGAGAGTATCGGCGTCCACCTCGAGGAATCCGGCCAGCTTGGTCAAGTCCATGGTAGTGTACAGCTTGAGATAGCTGCGCACGGTTGGCGACCACATGTTCGTCTTCACCTCCTCCATGAAGATCGAAAGCTGGTGCTCGACCGGGTCGATGTTGAGATGCGGCTGGTCGAAGTCTGGCGGAGTTGGCGAGATGAACTTCGGACACGCCGCACGGAACAGCTCCTCGAAAATAGGCAACGCCTCGGGCCCACCGCGCTGCATCCGCGTGAGCTGCTCGCCATACTTCTCCCTCAGCGCGGTGTGGATCGTATCATCCAGCCTGGTCGGGTAGAACGCCACGCAAATCGCCACCAGCGCATACATCTGATCATTCTTCTTCGTTATACTATCATACTGCGCGCCCTTCTGGAAGTTCTTCGTCCGGCTTACGTAGATGAGGATGTGATTGAATGCGCGAAGGGCGTCGGCGTAGCGGTGCATCATCATGTAGCTGAAGCCGACGTAGTAGTATGTAGTGAAGTTGGCCGCCATCACCCGTGCAAACATGGCCTTCTTGTTCAGCTCGATATCGTCCAGGGTCTTGAGCGCAAGGCTGAAGTCGCCGAGCAAGCAGTGTACCCGTAATAGACCGATGACGGAGAAGTAGCCGAGCATCTGGTACAGACTTCTGCTTCCGTAGTCGCCGGCGTACATCGCAGGGTCCTCCCCTCTCTTTCGTGCCGCGAGCTGCTCGCTGATTTGAGAGCGCTGAATAAGGGAGTACAGCACGTTGAGCACGGAGTAGCAGCCCCATGTGTTCGGATTCTCGCGAAGTATGGCAACCTCTTCCTCGTTGACTTGAGTATGTGATTGTTGGTAGGCGACACGTTGACGGTAGGAGCAGAAGGAGTTGAATTGGTAGATGAACTCGTCGATCACGTCCCAAGCCCAGTAATTCTGTCAAGGCGGATCAGCATCATCCCCACTGCTTAAACACTCCATTTCTACCCACCGATGGCACATCGATATCCACCGGACCCTCGCTGTTCAGGATGAAGTGGAAAAGGTTGCAGTAGCTATCGTAGCTCTGGATCTTCGTCTCAATCGTCGCCTGATATTCAAGAGGTGTCGCCGCGGCTTGTAGTTGTGCTTGGAGATCCTGCGGCCCTCCCCCCATCGACGTCGACCGGTTCAAGTCGTAGTCCTCCCCATCGTCGAAGCCCACCTGCTCCTTGTACTCGTTCGCAAGAGCCTCCTCGTCTCCGTCCGAGTCCTCATTCTGCGGTCGCTCCGGGGCGCCTTGCTGGTATGAGGGCGCTTGTCTCACCGACATCTTTGCGTTGGCGTAGACGTCCTGCAGTCGCGACGTTCATCAAATGTGCGCCGGATATTTTTTGGGCGCGAGCACGAAGTCTTGGCTATGCCTGAGGCATCTGTCTGTTATCGGCCAACCCGCTGTATGAGATGGCTGTCAGAGCTCGCCCAACATCACCTTTTGGACTTTACCTTGACATTGGAAAGGCCGTATTTTAGTGATACGAGCCATACGATCTACAGTGATATCCCACACTGTTCGACTCTCCCCTATCATGGATCAACTCAACCCGCCAATCCACGAGAGGCCCG